AGACTTGCATTAGGCACTTTCCTTTTGTCATAAATCTAAAAAACGCAACTTGGCATACGACTGCACCTCATCATTACTTTCTGAATGGGGAGGGGCAACGTGAATACGAGAAGAGCTAAAGTTTTCATTCAAAACCGCAGCCCATATTAACATCGCTTTTCGTGAACTTTCAAGATCTACTAAACGTTGTTAGCACCACTCTGTAATACACGGTCAAGAGTGCAAAACCAAACGACTGCTTTAGTAAAATCTCCGTGCGCTGACCATCTTGATGTTCGCCAGTTTGGTTAATATTTTTTCTGGGTGACGCTTCCTAGCATCAGCTACATCTAGCGCACAATGTGCAGTTTGAGTTTGGACTCTGAAGAAAAGCCACAGAGATGTGTCTCACCGTCTCTACATAAGCTTGTCCTCAACCCCCATCAGCAGTTCCTCCGAAGGAAATAACTTATATTGGTGTTCATCAAAGGATACTAATATACAGGTCCACTGGGTTCAGAGTGTGCTGAAAGCTGAGGCTGCAGTAGTGAAATTAACGTTCGAACAGCACATACATGGAGGTATAACCTCTCGGAGTAACCTTGGTGTAACAGAAATTGTGTTCCGATTTCGCAATTTTCAAATAGTTTGTGATCGTCTAGCTGTAGNCCTTATGAGTAGTGCGCTAAGAACTTTATGAATAGTTCCACATGCGAGAAAGCAAAAAGAATAAACTTCTTGGAAGGAGCTCTGCCTCCAAAAGCGCCACTGAAAGGGTGCTCGTGTCGTCAGGGTGATTACAATTTTTGCCTTGACGAGTAGTTTCACTCTGTAAGGCTGATCATATACTAAAGGCTGCTGAAAGGCAGTCAATGAGAATACACGAGATAAATTGTGATCAAATCTTCTCAGAATATTTGAATATTTTTCCAGTTTTCAAAAACTCGTAAACCGATTACGAATTAGAGAAATTGACCTTCGAAGAAGCCAAAGTGACCGTTCCTTCGAAGCTCCCTCCGTTTGGTGCGAGGACTGTACTGATCTTCAGTCTTTTCATCTATAATTTTCATCCTTGCGCTACATGGGCACCATCTAGTAGCTGGTCCACTGCCACACCTAACTGCTAATGCTAGCTAGCGCTTACGAGAAGAATTTATTATTCTACGTGAATCCCGGTATGTAAAAACTAATTACTGGATATTCCCGTCTTTCAGATGCAAGTTCAATATGCACAATTAGTAATAGTAGTACAAAAGGCAATAAAGCTGTGACTCACCAATGGGTTATCGAAAATTTGCCAGAGATCGTTGTTCAGGTGATCTGTTGTGTAGGTATCTGGAAATACGAGGTATCCGTAGGGTTCCAGATTGTCTACCGTCATAAACACGTTCTGTAATTCAAATGTAAATCAGATTCCCGACTATTGTAGTTCACAGTAAGTCAGAAGAACGCGTAAGTACGGACACGTGTATTGGGTACACGCGGCCAAACCGGTCCGCTTTCGCGACAGGTAAGCAAAACAACTGAGCCACATATCCAGTCAACCCACAAAACAAAACCACATACAACAAAACCAACATTCGTATTATGTCATTTTTGACAGAAGTTCAGTTTTCGGAATAATAATTGCTCTTCATTTGTCATACCATTGATTTGTTACACATTTATATGAGAAAGTCGGCCTATTTCAGGGCTATTAGCGAGAATTTATGGATACAAATTGATAGTAGAGTACAAGTACGCGAAGTCAAATTCTTCATTGGGAAGTTCCTTTTGAGCAGTTACGTTAGTCGATCGTCGTCGGATATTAACAGACCATCTCAACAGTTCAAACGCATCGTGCACTTTTGCAAACGAATGACGCACCCAAGACTGCTATGACGATGTTTTTTTAGTGTTCACATTCATTTGATAAACACCTCTTTAAGTTATGGTAGACAATATGATTACTCACCTGTACTTTTAATCCAAGGCTCAGTCGTTACTTTAGTTAAGTTGCTTCCAGGGAAAGACGTAACGAACGACTACAACTGTTGAGACGGCCGCACACCGTCTAGTGTTCCATTAACGAAAAACAATGTGGCTGCGGTCGCTGAACATAGCTTTGCACTTCACAAACAACTCACAGCTGCCCTTTTGTATCCGTAAAATGGTCCATTGAAAATCATTTCCGAGGTGAATATAGCGTAAAATAATATGGTAGACTTCTTGCATTAGGCACTTTCCTTTTGTCATAAATCTAAAAAACGCAACTTGGCATACGACTGCACCCCCTCATTACTTGCTGAATGGGGAGGGGCAACGTGAATACGAGAAGAGCTAAAGTTTTCATTCAAAACCGCAGCCCATATTAACATCGCTTTTCGTGAACTTTCAAGATCTACTAAACGTTGTTAGCACCACTCTGTAATACACGGTCCAGAGTGCAAAACCAAACGACTGCTTTAGTAAAATCTCTCTGCGTTGACCATCTTGATGTTCACCAATTTGGTTAATATGTTTTCTGGGTGACGCTTCCTAGCATCAGCTACATCTAGCGCACAATGTGCAGTTTGTGTTTGGACTCTGAAAAAAAGCCACAGAAATGCATATCACTGTCTCTACATAAGCTTGTCCTCAACCCCCATCAGCTCTCGGAGTAACCTTGGTGTAACAGAAATTGTGTTCCGATTTCGCAATTTTCAAATAGTTTGTGATCGTCTAGCTGTAGCACCCTTTCGGTGTCAAGCTGCCATTCCACAAGAAGGAGGAACGAGGGCTGGGATACTGCCAGGTTGCCCACACCTAGACAGGGGAAGTCGAGAGGCAGAGGTCGAGTTCAAACCACGGACCTTCCGGTCAGTGATAATAGGCTAGCAAGATTAGACCAAACTAATGTTTTAGTTGTGATACTTTTTCACTGCCCAACAGCTTGAAGGTGGCACAAAAACTGGGGACAGTGCGAAGTTGCCCACATCGTAATAAGGATAACCGAAAAAGCAGTGGTCGGTTCGAACCACAGACCTCCAAGCGATCAGCTCTCGTCCTAAAAGAAGTTGGCGCGGGTGACTTACTTCTTGTCTAGCAATGGTTGGAATTCGCATCTCAACGTCAATGCTTCCAGCGAGCTTGTGTTCAGCGAATTTTCGAACCACTCGGCGTGAGAGTAAGTAAGCGTCACGAATGAATGGCACGTTCCATATCCCCCTGAAAATAAATATGTTCCAAATTTTTATTCTTATTATTAGAGTCCGGCGATTTTACTCGGAACATCATGATACATATGTTCCAAATTTTTATTCTTATTATTACTCGGAACAGCATGACAGGTTCATACCATCTCAAATTTTACAATGCTATTAACACAAATGAAATTTTAAGTACTCTGAAACCCGACTACACTATCTCTATTCGTGTGCCGACACACTACTGTGAATGCAGTTGCATGAATCATATGGTTGAACCTAAAGACTTGGATCACTTCAATTAAATCGAAACGGAAAAGCACAATCCTTTTAGCAAAACAGCGCGGTGAGAATAGGCTAAAATGGCACAGTTAACAGCGAACTGTCCTCACTTTACACAGATTTAATGAATCACAGAGTACCTGGTTAACAAATGTAGACTTGACAGTACAGCCAGTCACACGTTAACCACTCATGTCCGCTTCCCCATAGGTCGGTCAAATTCAGACTGCATGGTGGATTGCTTGCTTCGCATCGCTCTGATTGTCTCCGCCTTCAGCATTTCAGTTGTCCACGGCCACCTGACCATGCTTGCAGGCTCTAATCCGTGTGCACTTTTTCCGCAGTCACAAAAAGCGCCTATTTATTCAACGGTGTTTTGCCTAATCATGGCAGTCATAACAATGCTGACTCACAGAAGATTTCATCTCTGATCGTATTTGCAGTATTCATTTAAGATTGTGATTGCAAGATCCATGGGTCACGGGTTGTCATGACTCACTTCGCCTTACTTTTAGCTGCCGACCATCCCCGTTCTTAATGTGAAGGTCAAAGTTCGGCAATATTGTTTGTTTGTTTGTATTCCAGTCATCCCGAGGGAGCTGTGTGGTTATTTATCGCCTGTTAACTTAAGATGACTGCGTTAGAATAGCAAATCAAGAAACCGGCATTTAAGTAGTCTGCTGATACAGATCTAACTGAATATGACAGCAAGCAATGTAAACCTTCCGTAACAAACCAGACCGGGGAAAAGGTCAAAATATCTCTGCTGTGGCCATCCCTGCTACCTCATACGTCGTAAAGATGCGATATTCGTTTCATGTGTTTGGATTGCAGTCGGTACATTGGTGAGTAAAAAAGAAGTTTCGTCTTGTATATCTCAAACTTTTAAGGAGTCAGCAATCGTATGTAAAGCAAACGAATGAAACGGTTTAGTCAAGTGCACTTTCATCTTGGTTACTATTTTAATACGACTGGCTCGCTGAAATTGGCAGCCTCGCCCAAGAAACATATGACCCATGATTGTCGATGACAAAACTTACTAGCAGCCTGTTCCAATCCTCAGACATCATTTCAGTTTTAGGAGTAGATTTCCAATCACCATCTGCCTGCTTCTAAAAAAATTCAGTCATTTTTCGAAACTAGTTGCATCCGTAATTAATCCATCTTGCTTAATCTAACTGCCAGCAGTCTTCGAGGATGCAAGAACTTCATGCTGAAGCTCTTTTCATTGGAACACTTCGGGTAGTCGTACTTATGAGTTCGCTTCTCTTCATCGGCACATCCCGAATCAGACTAAGCTGCAATTCAATTCACTTAAAGGCAAGACAACGACTGTGGCCCTTCCAGTAAGATGTTATGTTATTCGGATGGGCACTAGGTTTGTCTTCCATTTGCTGCCGTTAGAAAACTTACAACCGTGAATTGAGTCACATAACGCGCTTTATTATGTCTGGGTTCCTTTTTTTCGGACGGAAGTATAATCTTTGGTGGGAGAACCGGGACTTATGGAGCTGCCCAGGTAAAGAGATTTGTCAATTACCTCAATCGGTTCATCCGCAAGCATGAGGCTAGGGTTCGAGCTCATCCAGTCTTGCAGTAGCACTTTGCGGGTGTGAAGCGCATGCCGAACCGTGAGGCAGAATTGTTTAGATTTTTTAATATTGTTTGAATTACCACGAGGTTAAATCAAAGAAAAGCTATGTCGTCTGCGTATCCGATATCTGTGATCAGACGCCCAGGGATCACTTACGACAATTACGAAAAGACAGTATGTATACCTAACCCAATGTGAAAATGCTGTTTTTGTATTTTTGTCGGTGAATTCATGTCACCCGCAGTCACGAATCCTTCCGAAAATTGTGAATTCACTGCCGCCACGCAAGAGAATTAAGCCGTAACTGGGCCCAAACTGATCCAAAACGTTCGTGGGCACAGCCACTCAAGTAAACTGCTGTGTATCGAACGGTTCAGGATCACCAAGAGACAGAAATGTAAAATTGTTTCCATCAAATCGAGCAACACTTCTTGTTGACTGGCCCCTTGACGTACACACCACGATGCAACTGTAGATCTGGGGTGTCTTGCTACACTTTGATGGGAATATTCTGTGTCCGGTGCCTCCCCTGGTTAGTGAAGAGAGTGCACACCACGCTGCAAGCCATCTCACTTCAAGTACAGTCAGCTCCCGAAGCCGTTTTCAAAGAGATCAGCTCACTTGCAGCTCCCGTAAAACATCGACAATACCGACCGAGCACTTTGAGAGTGGGTAGCAAAACACTTTCTTAGGCACTCACTAGGAGCTCAGTATCTTCGTCTGCAAAATCATTGTTGAATTCAACTTGAGATGATAGTTTCCCCATTTCGTTTGCTCACTCCACCCGCGTGCTGGCGATCCCCAGACATTGTGCTACTCCAGATGTGTATTTACCTTGCCGCAAAGGTTCCCCTATCCGAAACTAGTATACCAGCATGTATATGTCACCTACCTACTTTTCCATTCTTGTCTGTGTCCTGTCTGCTAGAACTGCACTGTCCTTATCTCTTTGTGCTCGTATCGTCAATCAGAATCACGAGCTGACCTCAGAAAGAACGACCGCAACCCACACAAACGAGCCGAAATTCCATTTGGTGTGCGGACCTTGACAATGTGCTGTTCTGATCAGCGACAGACTTGCGCACTCGCTGAAGCGTAATTTTGTTTACCTTTGTGAAAGCACTACCTTAAAATTCCGAAACCAATTCTTCCTTCTGATATTCAGGAGAGTCAAATCTATGTGTGACTCAAACTTCTGCAATAGTCATCTTCAGAAGCATAGTTAAATCACTGACACAAAAAAGTCATTCACCGTGTAACTGTGAAACTATATCCGATCATTTTGTAAGTACAGAAAGAGCTGAGGCAGAATTCGAACCCATCATCTGGCTGGCCTAACTCACCCCGTCTACAAATGAATCACCTTTGGTGAACAGTTGTTTTCGTGTATCTGATTGCATACTAATTGCGGACAATTTGTTTTTCACAGATCGACATATGAATAAGGTGATCAGCAATATTAAAGAATACGATTTTTGTCACATCCTTACATCGAATCGAAACAATTTGAAATTGACTGTCATCTTTGGTGTAGGCAGCCATGGGAAGCAAAACGCCCGTCGACTGGCTAATTCATGCTTCGAAACGAAAATTGACAGAACCATGCTGTTTCCTTGGATGGATAAACAAAATACTCGGGACTTTCTGGTCTCATATACAATGATTCGTTTTGGACAATCTGGCAAACCTACTTACGTTCGGTTTCTTTCGACAATCTCTATGTAGTCATCTGACCGTTCGTAGTATCCGTCCCGAGACAATGCACCCCAGAAGTTGGACCAGAGTTTTCCTCTTCTGGATAGCATTGGTGCGATCATCGAACGATTCATTTGTATCAGGTGCTCGATGGTACGTGGGTTGGTCAGTTGAACAGTGGAGTCCACGGAAAACAGAAACATACAGGCGTCGAGAGCCAGGCAATGAGCACTGTTGGTAATGGTATGAAGGGTCAAAAAGATGGCTTTACTATTCAGGTTCTGATGAACTCAAACTGCTGTTGAACAATTAATTACTTCATCTTTTGAAAAGGTCATTCAAGTCCACGAGAAATCAGTTTTATCAGCTTTCCCGTGTTCCTCCGGCTAAAAATCTGTTTGGTACCAGAAAAGTTCCCTGGGGATTTTTGTCTAACCGCAATTTCACGTATGGGACTACATGAGACTGGGCAGAGATAACTACTTACCTGTAGTGGCACACCAAATCCTGCAGGCTGTGGTGACTGCCACCAAGAATGCCCAGATCCATTCAGGTGACGAGTAACACTGTGGCACTGTAGATTGTTAATCAGGAACTAGACATTCATGGCTTATAAAGCAGCGTGCTGATCTTTTGGTAATCCTGCGTAAGGGTCAGGAAGAGGTCCAGACAAACAGCTAGCCTGTTTCACATCGCCCTGGTTTGTTAAACCATTACCAAATGGACAGCACTGTCGGTAAATGGCATCACGAGGCGCGACAATTTAATCGAAGTCTAGCTGCCATACAATCCGAAAGAAGTACCAGGGCTGAGATGCTGCCAGATTGCCCAAGCCTGGACATGAGCAGTCGAGATACATGGGGTCAAAGATTTACGCTAAAGACATAATGGGACAATTAGTTCCACAAAATCACCTGATTCTCCTCACCAGCTTCACCAGTGCCGCATGCTACTTCATAGCTCTGTCATGATGTAACTGATATGTCCAGTCTAGAGTGCACAAACAGGATGGAGCTGGCTTGTGTATGTTTGTGAAATGGTCACCGCTCTTTATAAACCCTGATAAAACTTCTGAAAATCTCTAAAATCGGATTGCCATGTTGATCGCAGCATTCCAAATGCTAACTGTTTATATCCCAAACATTCCAACCAATGCGACACATCGGTCTATATGTTTTCCCCTTCTTTCTGAAAAGACACCTGGCGCAGAGAAGCTAACAGTGTTCAGAAAAGAACATGTGGGATCAAAAACTACTCCAGGAATAGCCATTTGCGATGTGTCTCATTTCCGTCTGTCCACGACATCCTAGTTAGCATGACCTCACAATTGTTCAGGTTCGCTTGACCTCGATAAAAACACTGGTCGGATGTTAATCATGGGACCGAACCCCACATGACAAAGCAGACACGAAATGGCTTTCTTCCTATTGGAGTGCTTTATCTCGGCGGATTTTGTATAAACGGATGGAAAAATGGACAAATGAATTAAGCGGTCAAAACAACAAACAAGCTACTCAAAAAGTAGAAGCGCTTACATGAACGAATTCGCATGGCTGAGTCATGTAACTGACCTAACAGTTCTGTGCCAATCTGTCGAATACAGACACCTAAACGCCATTATCATGAGGCACTAGTTAGACTTGTTCTGATGCACTCAAGATGTATGGTCAGCTTGTCGAATTATACTTATCTTTTCCGCCGGTCCACTATTCATATGTTTCTGTAATTTCAGATGATTAACGAACAGGTTGATGAAATAACTTGTTTTCTGGATTTGGATAACCCGTCATACAACGGGATTCCCAAATAGGGATGCTGGTCTATTCAACATACGGTAAGTGAACTCGGGTCACTAACGGAACCAAAGTCCTCACAGGCGATGCACAGTGAGAAGTCTATATTTACAGGTATAGACAAAGTATTCTACAATACTTTGTACGGACAATAGCGTTACTCATGAAAGATGTATGCATGGTCCTAAAAAGATATCGAAAGGCATGGAGAATAACGCTCGCCAAATCACCGGGCGATTTATCTCGTAGCAGGGACACGTGCGGTAGCTCAAGTTCCCTCCCCTCCTCCAAAACCTACTAATTCAACTTAATTTACTTAAGAAAACCATTCGTATAAAGCAGGCCTGACACCCTAAACGATGTTTATGGATCTGTGTACATGTGGAAGAAATTCGCACGGAATCTCTACGTATTCTTTTCACACTATTCGTGAGGGTTTCTCTCAACATACCGCGAAGCACTGTGGTCAGCTTTTCACAAAAATGTGTGGACCCTATCCTGAGTCTACATAATGGAATAATAGTAAGGGTACTGGCAACCCAGTATCCTTGACTCTGCAACGATCGATCTCCTCCTGGTGGCTTTCGTGAAGGATGATGCCTGCGTACAATATCCGTTTACGAGAAGTCCGTGTCCGGAAGCGAGCTACCCCTAATAGCCGAACAGCACGTCAATTGGATGGATGTGTCACGTGCGGGCTACGGACCGAACGAGGGCATGTCCTGTTTGGTCAGAATACCACCCATTCTGGATCGGGTGTCTTTAGATCGACGCTTCTCACTCCCCTCATGGAGATTCTAGCGCAAACTTGTGGGACATTCTATGATCGTGTCAAACCACAGAAAAGCGAACTTCGAGCATAGCTCTGTGGCTACCATAAATCAGCCGAGTGCAGAACACGAGGTCGCTTCCCGCACCTTCACGATCAAAGTTTCCTTCCTTATAAAAATCATCCCTGAAGAGCAGAAGATGCGGTCTTTTCCTAGGAAGTCGGCTTTAAATGTTTGTCTTCAAACAAGCATTTATTTTGCTTTATTTTGGTAGTTCAGTTGCTTAAGTATNATGTAACTGACCTAACATCAACAGTTCCGTCCCAGTCTGTCGAATACATGTACCTAAACGCCATTAGCATGGGGTACTAGTTAGACTTGTTTTGCTGCACTCAAGATTTATGGTCAGCTTGTCGAAATCCACTTATCATTCCCGCCGGCTCACTATTCATATGTTTCTGTAATTTCAGATGATGAACAAACAGGTTGATGAAATAATTTGTTTTCTGGATTTGGATAGCCCGCCATACGACGGGATTCCTAAATAGGGATGTTGGTCTATTCAACATACGGTAAGTGGACTCGGGCCACTAACGGAACCAAAGTCCTCACAGGCGATGCACAGTGAGAAGTCTACATTTACACGTATAAGCAAAGTATTGCACAACACTTTGTACGGACAATATCGTTACTCCTGAAAGATGTATGCATGGTCCTAAAAAGACATTGAAAGACATGGGGAATAACGGTAGCCAAATCACCGGGCGATTTATCTCGTAGCAGCGGTAGTTCAAGTCCTCTCCCCTCCTCCCTGGCCGACTAATTCAGCTAAATTTAATTAAGAAAATTATTCGCATAAAGTAGGCCTGACACTCTAAACGATGTGTGTGGATCTGTGAACATATGGAGGAAATTCACGCCAACACGTCGTATCTCTACTTACTCTTTTCACACTATTCGTGAAGGTTTTCTCTCAATATACTGCGAAGCACTGTGCTCACAAAAATGTGCGGAACCTATCCTGACTCTACAAAATGGAATAACAGTAAAGGTACTGGTAAACCGGTATCCTTGACCCTACAACAATCGATCTCCTCCTGGTGGTCAGAGTGTGAACAACTTTCGTGAAGGATGACGCCGTTTAAGAGATGTCTGTGTCCGGAAGCCAGCCACCCCTAATAACCGAACAGCACGTCAATTGGATAGATGTGTCACGTGAGGGCTACGGACCGAACGAGGGCATGTCCTGTTTGATCAGAATGCCAGCCATTCTGGATCGGGTGCCTTTAGATAGACGCTTCTCACTCCCCTCATGGAGCTTCTAGCGCAAACTTGTGGGACATTCTATGATCGTGTCAAACCACAGAAAAGCGAACTTCGAGCATAGCTTTATGGTTACCATAAATCGGCAGAGTTCAGTACAAGAGGTCGCTTCCCGCACCTTCACGATCTATGTTTTCCTTCCTTATAAAGATCATCCCTGACGAGCAGAAGCTGCCGTCTTTTCCTAGGAAGTCGGCTTTGCATGTTCGTCTTCAAACAAGCACTTATTTTGCTTTATTTTGGTAGTTCAGTTGCTTGAGTATGTATCAGACTATGGTGGATTTGAGAATTAACGTGACCAGTCTGCAATGAGTGATTTTCTCTGGGGCAGTTATTTTGCGAATGTCTCCCTTCTTCCCAATAATGAGGGATATCAAATAATCACACGCTTTTTCCGCACCATCAAGAAAACCAAGCAGTCCATTATTACCAAGACAATGTTCAGCTACTGTCTCCTGCTTCAACGGACTGCCATTCAGTTTTGATGAGGTCCTTCATCGTGAAAATATTTGAAGCCAACGACTTTCTGATTTATGATTCAACTGCTTCGTACAATTCATCACGTCCATATACCTCATTTAGTCTTCCAGTGAAAAGCAAACTTCAAAGTAAGATAGTCATATGGCTACTGGGGTGGGCGGTCTCTCCCCACAAATTCATCATCTCCTTTTCTGATGGAGAGTTTTCTCTCAAATGTTTCATTTCTTCCCAAGAAATTTAACGCATATCACATACGTACACAGTTCATGAGCGCCTAACGGAGCTGAACTGAACCGAAGCAAGCCGACGTCACATGGCATCCTGATGTCAGCTTATGGTCATAACCCGAATCCTCCCTATTTAGTCTTCAACCGTTTGAAAGTAACATGTTTACTACATCTGCCGAACATTTTTCTGGAACACTTACTAGGCGTAATCTCGGGCAATTGCTTCATCAGTGACCTCCTCAGCATCAAACCAACTAACACTGAGGTATTCGTGGCCATATGTCTTGTTGAATGCATCGGCCAGAGCCCTTTGTTTTTCTGCTTTTTTCTGAAAAAGAAGGTGAAAAAAGTCCTGTCTATTAGGTCTTGGGGGTTTGCTCATCAGTCAGGAAATCAGCCAGTCGACATGAAGAGCAGTGGTGCAGGGGTTAATCTCTCGACTATGTAACAACAGTGATAACACTAAACTGGAAGTCATCTGACAATTCTGAAATTCATAGAACCTCAACTTATTATGAGTGCCATATCACTTAACAACAGTGCGATGGCGGGTCGGTGCGGTTCAAACGCTTATACAGCTCATAGCTATCGTTTAAAGTAGCTGGGTGTGCTTTGAGAAGTCACGCCCTGCCTGCTGTTCGAAATGAATTGTGCTATGCTATTTCGAATCAGCTGTGAATAAATTGAGCCCAACATAAAGTGCTAGAAACGTCCATTCTTCATTATTACGGATGATACATTTTACCACCGCCTTCCAGGATGGGGACCGCGTGATCCTCACTGTGCCTGGTCGGAGGAGACACTACAAGATATGGCTGCCAACCGATGTCAGTGGCGTTCTTGTTGTCAGTTTCTATTCAGATCGCCTGAGTGAGTGTCTGGAGGTACAGGCACCTCGGAATGATTGTCGTAAGCTAGCACTAAGTCCCTTCCC